CAGGCATGTGCCACTGTACCCAGCTTCATGTTAATTTTTAAAGTAGATTTCTATATTATGGAAATTAGCTTGTCAGGTGTGTTATAGATATTTTCCTCTGGTTTGTCATTTACATTTTTGTGGATTTGTCTGTTCCTTTTTAATTTCTAGAATAAAAATTATTAAACTTCTTTAAAGAGTCTGGGTTTTATTCTTTATATATTTGGAAAAGCTTTCTAACTATTATTATTATTATTGTTATTATTATTATTATTAAAATGTTTTTAGTTGTAGATGAACACAATACCTTTATTTATGGTGCTGAGGATTGAACCCAGTGCCTCACACATACTAGGCAAATGCTCTACCACTGAGCTACAACTCCAGCCCCTCCCATATTATTTTATAAAACACAGAAATTTCTGTCTAGGAATTTGATAGTTTTATTTTTATTTATTTATTTATTTTTTTTGGTACTAAGGATTGAACCCAGGGGTGCTTAACCGCTGAGTCACATCCCCAAGCATTTTATTTTTTATTTTGAGACATGGTCTCATTAAGTTGCTGAGACGAGCAATTAGACTGAAAATGCTTCCTTCTCTGATATTAGTGAACTGTTTTGAGTGAAATGTCTTTTATATTTTCCCAAATTTTCTATAAACATTCATATTTTCTTTGACAGTTAAAAATATTCAACATGCATAAGTAAAAGTGATGAGAGATACCACTTATTGGATACATTTAGACAGGTAATGAGATTTACTCATTTTTAAAAATCATTTAAGATCAAGTTGTTCCTTTCTCTACACCATTTACTGCTTCTAAGTCACTCTACAAAAATTTTAGTAAGTTTAGGGATTCAGGTAACTTTGCTCATTTAACACAAGCTCTCTCTGTCTAATCAAATGACTCAGAGCTATATCAAGTACCACTGATTAAATGGAAATCATCAATCATTACATTCCTTTAAGTCTTGCAGAATCTTCTAGGAAAGCATTTCCCAACTTAATGCAGTTTCCTCAGCTTTGCAAATGTTCTATTTTAGGCTTGTCAGTAATTAAACAACTAGTTAGTACTAGTAATAGGTCTACTTACCTCTAATGAAGCATGTGAACTTGCTGGAGGTGGAATCTTTCTCCCCTACCTCCTAGAAGTGCTTTTTTTTTTTTTTCCTTAGAGAAAGATGAGATGAGATGAGATGAGAGAGAGAGAATTTTTTTAATATTTATTTTTTAGTTTTCGGCGGACACAACATCTTTGTTTGTATGTGGTGCTGAGGATCTAACGGGGCGCACGCACGCCAGGCGAGCGCGCTACCGCTTGAGCCATCCCCAGCCCCTAGAAGTGCTTCTTCAAAATTGGCAACCACATCCTTTTCTGAAACAAGAATAAAAGTACCTGGCATGGAGCTGAACATGGTAGTGTCAGCCTGAACCAGCATAAAATAAAATTAGCTGTAGTAACAAAGTTTTGTGGTTCTTTGCCTCCAGATCCTTTTCTGCATGGACTTGTATTTTGAGAGGAGGCCTTCAAAACAAACAAACAAAAAATTTAAAAAGGCTGTTTCTCTTTGCAAAACTCAGGATTTATTTTTCTTTTCTTTTTCTTTTGTGGTGCTGAGAATTGAACCCAGGGCCTTGTGCATGTGGGGCAAACACTCTATCAACTGAGCTATATCCCCAGCCCTGTTTCTTTTTCTTATACCTTAATTAATTTGTTTAAAAAATTAATTTAAAATTTTAACTTGTGGTAAAATAGATCTCATATTTACCACCATTTAAAAAATTTATTTTGTATTGAATTAATATTTTAATTAATTTAAATATTAATTTTTTTAATTAATTGAATATTTTACCAATAAGGTTCAGGGACAAAGAACATTCACGATTTTGTGCAACAAGCCATCTCGAGAGTTCTTCATCATCCCTAATAGAATTCTGTACCACTGAGCCTAATTCACCAGTAGCCCTCTTACCAGCCTGGCAACCAATTATTTTCTGTCTGTATGAATTTGACTATTCTAAGTACCTCATATAAGTGGAGTCATAAAATCTCCCTCCATCTGGCTTATTTTACTTAGCATAACATCCTCAATCAAGGTTCATCCATCTTGAAGCAGGTTTCAGAATTCCCTTCCCTTTTAAGGTTAAATAGTAGTCCTTTGTATGTATGTTACACATTTTGATTAACCATCTACCTGAGGATGGCCATTTATCTTGTTTCCACCTTTTGACTTTTGTGAATAGCGTTGCTGTGCAGTGGTGTAGTCAACCGAGTAGCGACCTAAATCGTCCTAAATCGCTGTGACTATCTCTTCCCATTTCCTCCTTATCAGCATTGTTACCTTAGCCACCTCAGCCTCCCAGGTGTAGCAGATTTTTTTTTTTTTTAAATCCCCTTTACCTTTACCCTTTGGCTGGACTTTGTCCAACCGGGTTTATTTATAAACCGTGCCCAGCTCATTAAGAAGACAAAGCATTCAGCAAGTCACATTTCCACCTTCATTCCTCCAGGAGGGCACTCTGAAGAGCTAAGTGGGGGGACACATGGCAGAAGACAGAAGGAAGAGCGACTCCATCCAGATGAGCATGAAGGGATGTCGGACAAACAATGGGTTTGTCCAGAATGAAGACATCCCAGAGCTAGACCCGGATCCAGGCAGTGCCGTGGGCAGCCTGCAGCACAACGCTGTGAGCATCCCAGGCCCCCAGGAGTCTGAGTTGCAGGTCATCCGGCCCTACGCCGGGATGCCCAAGGAGGTGCTGTTCCAGTTCTCCAGCCAGGCCCGCTACCGGGTGCCCCGGGAGGTCCTCTTCTGGCTCACCGTGGCTACTGTGCTCCTGCTCATTGGGGCCACCATAACCATCATCGCCATCTCTCCAAAGTGCCTCGACTGGTGGCAGGTGGGGCCCATGTACCAGATCTATCCGAGGTCTTTCAAGGACAGCGACAAAGATGGGAATGGAGATCTGAAAGGTGCGTGTTACTGGACAGTGCAGGGAGGGGGCCGGGATGGGTTGATTTATGGCTCTCCCCTTCCTTGAAACCGAATTATGCCTAGATTTCCCAGTAAGCACATTCCAGTGTGGCTTATCACCCAAGATTTTCCTTGTTTATGATATTTTTTAAATTGCTCAGCAGAACTCAGCAATCTTTCCCCATGATGAAAAGCAATTTGCTGAAGGCTTTTGAGCCAAGAGTTTAATTTATTGCCCACTAAATTCAGAAGCTTGTTTGGTCATCAGTTCTGACTGCTGAACCAGAGCAGGTTTCCTCTGCAAATCTGTCTCTTGCTTCTCTGAACTTTATGGGTGGATATTTCAGAGTGACAGCTGAGAAGTGCTTGCCCAGTATATGATGTGGCTTGTTTGGCATCTGGCTGAGAGTTTATTAATAAAACACAAATAATAATTTACAAAAGTATTAAATGCTGTCTTTAAAAGGCTGAATCTTCAAATTTAAATCCTAAGAAATGAAGGGAAAGAATAAACACAGCAGTGTGTTGGTTGTTACTTGGATGAAAGATTATTTAAAATAATATCCATATTAGTAGAAAAGTAGAAAGTGAAAAAAAATGGGGGGGGGGTGGTTACTGGGGATTGAACTCAGAGGCATTCAACCATTGAGCCACATTCCCAGTCCTATTTTATATTTTATTTAGAGAGAGTGTCTCACTGAGTTGCTTAGCACCTTGCTTTTGCTGAGGCTGCCTTTGAACTCGCAATCCTCCTGCCTCAGCCTCTGGAGCTGCTAGGATTACAGTTGTGCACCACTATTCCTGGCTTGAAAAAAATGTTTAATCTCTTGATCTTATTATTTATTTATTGTTGGTCCAGAATTGAACCCAGGGGTTCTTAATCACTGAGCCACATCCCCAGCTCTTTTTTTATTTTTATTTTGAGACAGGGTCTTGCTAGGTTGCTTAGGGCCAAGGCCCTCTTGCTATGTTGCTTAGGCTGGCTTTGAACTCGAAATCCTCCTGCCTCAGCCTCTAGAGCTGCTGAGGTTACAGGTGTGAACCACTGCATCTGGCTGAAAATTTATGTTTTTAAAGTTAAGCTAATAATTTCTTGGGATGTTATTTGTGATTTTAAGAGTAAAATTGTGGCATAAAATGGGGCTATTAGGCAAACTGGTCGGTGTAGGCACCCTAATTAAGGGCAGCAATAAGAAACAAGTAAATAGACTAACTAGTGCTTTTTTTTTTTTTTAACCATGATTATTTGCTTGAGGAAAATAAAACAAGATATGATATAGTGTGGAAAGTAGGAATGGGCTTAATTTATTGTTAAAATGTTGTACGGAAACTCTTGAAATCCTCAAATTTCTTTAATAACCTCATGAAAAAGACCTTTCTTCTGCCTCACTCATATCAGATCTGCCCCTTCCCCACTTCCTTTTGTGGCCCTGGGTGTGATCCTTGTGCACATACCAGGCAAGTTCTCTACCTTGAGGGAATGGTTGCTTCCTAAAAGCTCTAGCCTCATTTTCTGTTTTTACAAAACCTTCCTGCATCTTCACTAATTGAAGAAGTGTATTTGTCCATCCAGGTGTGGCTTAAACACATTGCTTTCATTAATCTTTGTTTAACTTTCCTAATCAGAGCTTGGGCTGCCTCCTCAGATTCCTGTGGTGCTTTGGGCAGTGTCTACAGTTCCCTTTGATACTCCCTTGGAACACTTGTGAGTGACTTCCCTTCCCTTGCTACATGACCTCAACACCTGCTGCCTCTCATAGTAAATGGTTAGCAAAAGTGGTGTTTTGATTGAATAGTGCTCAAATCCCTAAATCCAGAGATACACTCTTTACTTCCTGGCCCTACCTTCTTAATCTTCTTCCAAATAGACACCACATTCCCCTACATAAGAGCTAATCAGCTCTTCCATTTTTAATTTCCGGTAACTTTTCCTTGAGGGAATGGTTGCTTCCTATGATCAACAGGCATTGGTCCTTGAGGCTGAAGGGATTTTTTTGTTACTGTTAGGAAGAAACCATCTCAGGTTTGGGTTTGTGATCGCCCTCTGTTCTTCACCCTCAGGCTGGGAGCCCTTGTTTACTTTGTTTTTGTCTACCCCTTTGTTTTCATTATCACATGTTCCTTTGTTTGTGTGGTGAACCCAGGGTTTGGCACATGCTCTACCCTTGAAACACACCCCTTGCCCCTGTATATCTTGTTTTTAAGATATACTGCATTGCTGTTCTGGTTTAAATCAAAACCCTTCTGTTGCCTGTTGCTACTCTGATCATACAGCCACCTGTATTGGGGAATCAAGTACAAGAAGACAAAAGTAAGCAGCTTGTGTGGGGTAAGAGCCCAGATCCCAGAGTCAAATGACTTTGTGCTTTGGTTTCAGTCATCTCCAGTCTGAGATAGCAATTTAGGAATAAAGGGAAAGATACTGAGTCTCAAAGAAAGCACTCATGAGGAATTTCAACTCCTGACCCATATGCTCTTGGTCCTTGCCCTTGACCCATGCCCTTGTAACATGAGGACAATGCACAAGTGCAAGGGGAAACTTTCATAGCACCACCCTACCTCCACCTGTAGTCCAGACCTAGCTCCTGCCCTCCCTAACAGGCCACTGTCTCTCCCTCTGGATAGACAAATTCTCTCTCAAATGTGTATTTCTTGCTTTATTCCAAAGATGTCTCTTTTGAGATTGCCCTCATTCTCCCTTGAATATGTATCTACTTTCCTAAATAAACCTCTGTCTGTACCTTTGCCTGGAACAAATTCTTTTCCATCATACATGTCAAGAACCCCAGTGGTCCTGAGTGAAGTTTCTCCTCTCTGGGAACTCCATGGACACTTCCTCTGAAACATATCTTTCTCTGTGTGGCCTCTGCTGTGATCTAGGAAACCACATGGAGATCACACAAAAAGTTACTAGAAATTGAACAACAGACTTGAGTCTGAGTCTGCATTTAGAACTCTGACCTATAAGCAAAAATGTGCCATCTCTTAATTATCCTACAAAGTTTCAAGTACAAACATTTCACCTCCATATCTTTTCCCAGCCACAATAGTATTCTTTTCTAGGTAAATTCTTGGCTTCCTACATAAGTGAACAAAAAAGGATCCAGATTTCAGCTTGCTGTAAAGATAGTCTGAGAGCAGAATGAAAGACCTTTCAAATATTAGTGCACACTTACCTTACACCTCTTGGTATTCTCTCCCTAATCCCTATGCTGCAGGCAACATTTTTCACTGTTGACTATTCATTTATTTATTGTGCTGGAGCCTAGGACTCACCCCTTTTAAGACAAGTCCTCTGTGTCTGTTTTTCCTTTCCTTTGCTACAAAGCCTTCCCTGTAAATCACCTACCTTTACCTTTGCCCACCCAACCCCATCAGCTGCCTGTTTCCTGAAGGGCCAGGGAGCAAATACCTTAGTGCCCTTAAAGCACCTTACACAGCTCTTCTTGGTTCAATTTTCATTCCATTCCTGCCTGTTTTACCCTCAACTATCACAGCACAGTCCAAAGGAATCTAACGGGCACCACATTTTTAGAAGTTAAAAAAAAAAGAAAACAGGTGAAATTATTCGAATAATATATTTTTCTCACTCCAGTATATCTAAGATATCATTTCAACATGTAATTAGTATAAAATATTAATATTTTACATCTTTTCATACTGGATTTTAAAAAATCTCATGTGCATTTTACCCCTACAACACATCTAAGTTCGCACTAGTCACATTACAGGTGCTCAGTAGCCACATGTGGCAAGTGGCGATGATGTGGACTAGTGTGGCTTAGACCACTCATTCACCAGGGACCAAGTGTTGTTGACCATGACCTTGGCACCTAGTCAAGTACCTAGCTTGGAAACCATGCATAGAATAAATTAATATTACTGTATTAATGGTTTTTTAAAAAATTTGAGCAAGTAACAGATCTTTTAATGTCAGGCACCTATGTTAAAGGTCAAAGGTTATTGCTAGAAGATCAATTTGATGTTATTCAAAGAACTAGGCCTTGCTATGTGAATTTTACTCAAACTCAATAAAATTTCAAATATTTCTGCTTTCAAAAAATATTTAGGTCTTGCTAGGTATGGTGGCACATCCCTGTAATCCCAGTGGCTGGGGAGGTTGAGACAGGAGGATTGCAAACTCACAGCCAGCCTCAGGCAAAAATGAGGTGCTAAGCAACTCAGTGAGACTCTGTCTCTAAATAAAATACAGAATAGGTTTGGGGATGTGGTTCAATAGCTGAGTGCCCCTGAGTGCAATCCCTGGTAACCCCCCCCAAAAAATTTAGATCTTATAAATATTAATTTTATTTTTAATCTTTTATATAAACAAAATAGGACTTATTCATGACCTTAGCTTTTTTCTTCAGGTATTCAAAATAAACTGGACTACATCACTTCTTTAAATATAAAAACTGTTTGGCTTACTTCATTTTATAAATCATCCCTAAAAGACTTCAGATATGCTGTTGAGGATTTCCAAGAAATTGATCCTCTTTTTGGAACAATGACAGATTTTGAGAATCTTGTTGCAGCCATACACGATAAAGGTAAATTGAATGGGAGGTGGATGGCATAGGGGTGAGGGTTGAAATAAGCACTTCTCTAAATGGTCAGTGAACACATTTCCCCCCCTTAACTGTCATATATCATCCTAATACAATGTTTTTCTAATATCTGAAATGTTTTCACTTATTAGGTTTAAAATTAATCATTGATTTCATACCGAACCATACCAGTGATAAACATGCCTGGTTTCAATTGAGTAGGACGCAGACAGGGAAATACACTGATTATTACATCTGGCATGACTGTACTCATGAAAATGACACTACTATCCCACCCAACAACTGGGTAAGTGCCAGCCTGCCTGACTTGCACAGGGAAATGGGCAAATCTGTGGGATTCAACTGGTGATTTATGAAGCCTTTTAAGGAAAACTGAGACGAATATAGTTTATGGGGACATGGGGGAAGAATTAGACATAAAAATAAAATAAATTTCCCTAGTATTGTTTAGATTTCTGATTTCATTATAGAATTGGTGTGTTCTAGCAAATTAAAACCTATTCTCACTACTAGCTTCTCCTTTCTTTCCCTCTCTTCCCACTTGAGCAGCTTGGAGTCCATGTCCCATTTGTTCAGTAGCTGTTTTGCAGATGTGTTGCCTCTTTGAATTTTTTTTTTTTGTAGTTGTAGATGGACAGAATGCCTATATTTTATTTGTTTGTTTGTTTATTTATTTATTTACTTATTTATTAATTATTGTGGTGCTGGGGATTGAACCAGTCCCTCACGCATAACTAGGCAAGCGTTCTACCATTGAGCTACAGCCCCAGCCCAACTCTTTTGACTTTTTGACTCTCATGTTTGGACAAAACTTTGGCCATAAAGAAACCTAATTGTCTTGAACTCTGGTATTTGAACTCTGGACACATCTCACATTCATTATCCCCACCTGAACTGAGCCACTAAATCTTCTTGAGAGATTTACTAAATCCAACTAATCAACATGCCCTTCCCTTTCTCTTCAAACACTCTCTCTGCCTCCTATCTTATGACTCTCAGAGAAAATTCTGCTCCACAGAGAGAAGAAAAGCCATCAGAGCTGCAGGTCCCCATTCCCACCCTTTTCCTACTTGCTATTTTTAACAATAGGAGTTACTTCCTTTCTGTCTAAAGGACTTGATTTAGCAAATAAAAATTTAGGATATCCAGTTAAGTCTGAGTTTTAGTTAAACAGTATATAATTTTCTAGTATAAAAGATTTTATAGGCTATACTTATGCAGTCAGCTGTCTGTATCTGTGGATTCTATATCTGCACATTCAATCAACTGTATATAGAAAATATTTGGAAAAAAATTGTATCTGTACTGAATTAGTACAGACTTTTTTTCTGATCATTATTCCCTAAACAATACAATTATTTACATAGCACTTACAGTTTATCAGGTAGTATAAATAATCTAGAGATTATTTAAAGTGTAGGGGAGCATTTGCATAGGTTATATTAAATACTGTGCCATTTTAATGTGAGAGACTTAGGCATCTGCAAATTTTGGTATCTGAACCAGTCTCCCATGGATGCTGAGGAGTGCTCTACTAAAATACTATGCATTGTTTTCTGAAATTTAGATTTGTTTGAGTCCTGTATTTCATCCAGCAGCTCTACATCTGTCCCAGGCCACATCTTTGTTTTTTCTCCTAGGTCTTTTAATCTGGACCATCTTACCCTACTCCAGTCTCTTCTTCTTCTTCTTCTTCCTCTTCCTCCTCCTCTTCTTCACCTCTTCCCCTCCTCTCACTCTTCCACCCTTCCTTCCTTTTTTTTTTTTTTTTTTTTAATACTTGAGCCTAGGGGTGTTTTACTATGGAGCGATATCCCCAGTCCTTTTTACTTTTTATTTTGGGACAAGATCTTACTAGAGTGCTGAAAATCATCCTAAGTTACTGAGACCGGCCTTGAATTTGCAATCCTCCTGACTCTAACCTCCGGAGTTGCTGGAATTACAGGTGTATGCCGCTACACCCAGTTCTTTTTCTCTTCTTGATCTTCTCTGTTAACATTTAAACATACTGGTTTCTGGATATCAACTTTGAGGAATTATTGGCCAGACTTTTTTCTATTTTCATTTGTGTGAATATAAAATAGTATCACATTGAGGTCTAAATTTTACATTTATCTAATAACTAGTGATGGTTTATCAAGTTGCTAATGTAGTAATTATATACTTACTAATGATGTTGAACATCTTTTCATATAGTTATTCATTTTTGTACTTCCTTTTCTGTGAAATACCTGCTTTTATTCCCTAGTTCTCTTTAGGATTGCTTGTCCCTGTTGCTTTCTGGAGGCCTCTTTGCATTCTGGATCCTGGTCTTTTGTTGGTTAGACACACTGTAGATATCTCATTTTGGTTTGTGTCCAGGCAGCCACGTGGTGAACTTACAGTTTATCAGGCAGTATAAATAATCTAGATATGTTTTCTTGAAAGGCAGCAGCTGTTACTCAGCTTTGACCAACTGCCATAGAAATATAGATCCATGTGACTACATCTTCCAACTAAAAGGAAAAAGATTCATGTAAAATCCCCCAGTTTTTCAGTGCTTTCTAGATGCTGTGTTTAGCATGAAATGAGATAGAGCCCAAGAAACTTTCATGTTTAAGGGGTCATTGCATACACCAAGAGGAAGGGGCCAGAGACTGAGAGTGGGGCATGAGAGGAGAGTCTTGACATGGAACCATGAACCTGAGCATTTCTAGAAAGAGGAAATTAGTCACAGTGTCAAATACCACTAGGTACCAACACTTGAAGTTGCTAGATTTTTATTCCTGAGGACTGGCAGGGTTTATTAAAGAATAGGTCTAATAAATTTTTTTTATAACTATAGTTTGAATATTCAATATATTGGGTTCAAGCTTCAAGACCAATAGAAATTGTCTTTTTCCCCATGTTGACCCCATTTGCTTTTCTTTACAAACAGGAAGCCAAAGCCTGGACAGAGGATTCAAGAAAATATGTTAGCAATGTCTGTTCCTTAAGTTGGTCTTGTTTTGAATTTGAGAGCATTGGCTTGTCATTGTGACTGTTATGAATAGCATCTACTGGACAGACAGGTCACAACCATGTTTATGGGGCATTAGGCCAACTGGTGACATTTTGGAGAGTTAATTTAGCTTAATTCTTACCCTAGAAGGAGAATTCTCAGGATTTAAATACTCTGCCCACACGGAGCCTGGGATGGCCATGATCATTTCTTTGTAGGCAAAATCATCATATGAATAATGCTAAGTTACTGATGTGCTGTTTTGTTTCTTTGCTAGTTAAGTGTGTATGGAAACTCCAGTTGGCACTTTGATGAAGTGCGAAAGCAATGTTATTTTCACCAGTTTATGAAAGAGCAACCTGATTTGAATTTCCGAAATCCTGCTGTTCAAGAAGAAATAAAAGTGAGTATAGATACTCTTCATTAATGGGAGTGGTTATTTTAAACACTCTATATTGAACAATAATTTTGCAGGAAAAATAAAAGTAGTACAGTTAAATTCTCAGATTGAGATGTTTGATGCAAATAAAGACACTTTCATTTGTTGGTGGCTCCTTTCTTCATCTAACCCAGAATAATCTAAATGGAAGGGGGTAAGAAACACCTGGTGCCTTAGTGACAATGAGCAGGTGCAGGAAGGTGGGGCCAGATGAGGGCTCCCACATCTGCGGTGGGCCTCTGGGTGAATTATTTGGCTTTTCTTTTCTTTTTAATTGTTGATGGACCTTTATTTTATTTATTTTTATGTGGTGCTGAGGACCGAACCCAGTGCCTCACACATGCTAGGCAAGGGCTCTACCATTGGGCTACAACCCCAGCCCTTATTTGGCTTTTCTATGCCTCAGATCCCTCATTCATTAAACACATTTGATGGTAATATTGGACTCAGAGGGCTCTTAGGAAGATTAGATGAGATAATCCATGCATGGCACTTCTGTATTCATTCAGTAAATATTAACTCACTGCCTGCCTACCCTGTGCCAGGCCCTGAGTACTGGGAAAACAGCAGTGAATAAAAGAAGCCCTACCCTCAATGAGTCCCTGGTGTGGGTAAAGTAGACAATGAAGAACTGTGCCTATCACATGTCAGGTCGTGGTGAATGCTAAGGGAAGGTGACTCAGACATACCCCAGGGATGAGGTGCTGCCTGACAACCACCTGGAGTGTGAAAGGGAGTCCTGGAATTGAACTCAGAGGGGCTTAACCACTGAGTCACATCCCTCGCCCTTTGTATTTTTTGTTTTGTGATTAGGTCTTGCTAAATTGCCTTAGCTGCCAGAGTTGCGAGAATCACAGGCATGTATCACCATGCCTGAGCCCTGTGTCTCTCTAGGGGAAGAGAATTTCACACAGAGGGCAGAGCAAGTGCAGAGATCTCGAAGGGAGAGTATGGTTCATGTGTTTCAGGAATGACATGGAGTCCAGTGCATAGGCTTGCCAGAAATAGCAAATAAAAATACAGGATACCTGGTTAAAATTTCAATTTCAGATAAATAGTGAATAATACAATGCTTGGATATATATACTTCTACTATAAAAGTACTCATCGGTTACTTGATATTAACAAGGTGTCCTTTATCTTTTATCTGGCAGCCCTACAAGTGTGCTGGTGATACAAGAGGGCAGGAGGCAGGGAGCAGAGGTTGCAAAATCAAGAGCTGAGGGCTCTGCAGATGGCCTTGAGTTTGATGGAAGGGCACATGCTGAGCCAGTGAAGATTCCTTTGGGGCTCTGTAGGCAGGAAAGTTTCTGTAGTAACCCCGGTGATCTCTGGTGGGCTTGTACTGGAGTGGTACAGACAGTTCTAGTGATTGGCAGTAAGTAGTAGCCATGTTGTTCTCATTCTTGTGTTGCTGCTGTGGCCAGAGTGGGCAGGAATTTAGCTGAGTGGGGTAGTGCTTGGGGGAGGGAGGAGGGAGGAGGACACCCAAACAGAATGGAGAGCCATGGGTGCCCTTCTGCACCTCACCATATCAGCCAAATAGAGAGGATGCAGGACACTAGGGGCACTGGAATCCTTAGTTTATTTTTCCTTTATTTGTTCTTAAATAACAGTTTCTTGGAATATAATAATTCACATACCATACAAATTTTTCAAATGGGTGATTCAGTGGTTTTAGTATATTCAGAGTTGTGCGACCATCACTATTAATTTTCCAGTGCATTTTCATCATGCCAAAAAGAAATTCCAAACCCATCAGCAGTCACTCTCCCTAACCTCCTGATACCCACCGCCCCCACCAAGGCTTTGGCAACCACTAATCTACTAATTTACCTACTGAGGACATTTCACATAAGTGGAATCAGACATTATCTGTTTATATTTTATATAGCTTAGCTTATTTATCTATCCATCCATCCATTCATCTATTTATCCATACATTCATCTATCTTTACTTGAAAACTGCCAAAGTTGTTTTCTATAGCCACTGCACCACTTTACATTCCTATTAGCAGTTTATAAAGGTTTCCATTTCTCTACATTCTCACTGGCAATACTTGTTATTGCCTATGAGTTTTTGTTTGTTTGTTTTTTGGTACCAGGGATTGAACCCAGGCGTACTTAAACACTGAGTCACATCTCCAGCCCTTTGTTTATTTTATTTAGAAACGGTATATTACTAAGTTGTTTAGGGCCTTGCTAAGTTGCTGAGGCTGACTTTGAACTCATGCTTCTCCTGCCTGAGCCTCCTGAGCCCAAGCTGCATCACCGTGCTCAGCTTATGTTTTCATTATAGTTATCCTACTGTGTGTGAAGTGTCATCTCATTCCGGGTTATATTTGTATTTGCCTCTTTTCATGTGCTCATAGTTTACTTATGTATCTTCATTGCAGAAATGTCTATTCAAATCCTTTGCCCATCTAAAAACAGGCTTATTTGTCTTTTTATTATTGGGTTGTAAGAGTTCTTTATATATCTTAGACACATGATTTGCAAATACTTTTCTTCTGTTCCGTGGGTTGTCTTTTAACTTTCGTGATGTAGCCCTTTGAAGCATAAGAGGTCTTAATTTTAATATGTCCAGTTTCACTTTTTTTCTTTTATTGTATTGCTATCAAAAGCTCAGTCCTTGTCCCCAGTGACAATTTAATAAGGAAGAGACATGGTTTTGAGAAAAAGGAAAAAGAAGGTTTATTGCTTTGCTAACAAATGAGAAGCACAGGGGATTCTTGTCCTAGAGTCTGTGATTCTCTCCATAAGGGAAAGCAGAGGGCTTTTAAAGAAGCTCTTTAAAGGCTGCTTTCCAGGTGTGCCCTGATGGTGTGTTGAAATTCATTTGTTAATTTGGGAGATAGTCACTTCCTAGATCTTCAGGAGATGTCTCTTTCCTGTGGTGTGCTCAAGGACAGATAACAAGGCCTAGGATGGGAAAAGGTAATCTTGTTCCATACCCTCGAATTAGGGAAGGGGAGAGGGAGAAGAGAAAAAGAAAAATATGTTCCTTTTAAAATAAACATTAGAGTAGACCAGTGTTGCAGTATGTGCTTTCATCGTGATGTTTGTTTTATTTATTTTTTAAAATTTATTTATTTTAATTAGGTATATATGACAGCAGGATGCATTTTGATTCATTGTACACAGTTGCAGCACAACTTTTCATTTCTCTCTACATGATGTAGCATCACACTATGTGCAATCATACACGTACCTAGGGTAATAATGTCCATCTCATTGCACCATCTTTCCTGCATCCATACCCCCTCCCCTCCCTCCCCTCCATTTTTCTCATGCACCCCCCCACTACTCCCATAAGGATCAGCTTCCACTTATCAGAGAGAACATTTGGCCTTTGGTTTTTTAAATCTTGGCTTACTTTGCTTAGCATGATATTCTCCAACTGCAACTATTTACCTGCAAATGTCATAATCTTATTCTCTTTTAATGCTGAATTAATATTCCATTGTATGGTATATATATACACCACAGTTTCTTTATTCATTCATCTATTGAAAGACATCTAGGTTGGTTCCACAGTTTAGCTATTGTGAAGAGAGCTGCTATAAACATTGATGTGGCTGCATTTGTTTTATTTTTTGTAGTACTGGGGATTGAACCCAGGGACACTCTACTACTAAGCTTCATCCTTAGTCCTTTTATTTTTGAGACAGGCTTCAATGAATTTCTGAGGCTGGCCTTGAACTGGTGATCCTCTTGCCTCAGCCTCCCAAGTCTCTGGGATTACAGGTTTGGCCACCATGTCTGGCTTTTCATTGTCATATGTAAGAACTGTCACCTAATACCAAATTACAAAGATGTATTTCTGTTTTCTTCTAAGGGTTTTATGATTTCATCTCTTATATTTTAGGTGGTCTCTGATCCATTTTTTGTTACCTTTTTAAAAAATCGTTTTGTTAATCTTTCTGTGTGACGTGAGAGTAAGGGGTCCAACATCATTATTTTGCATGTGGCTTGATCATCCAGTTAGCCAGAAATGTATGTTAAAAAAAGACTAATGTTTCCACATTAAATTGCAACTCTAATTGAAAGCCAACTGGCCATAGATGTATAGGCTTATTTATTTTTAGACTTGCAACTCTGTGCCATTCATGTTTATGTCTACTCTTATGGCAGCACCACACCGTATAGAAATGTTTAAGCTAGTGTCATTCATTTTGTCACAATGTGCCAGCCAAAACACTAATGATTCTTTGACTAACCTGGCTGTTCATTTATAGGTATCCAAGTAGTTAGATTTGTGACTAGGATTCTGATTCCCTAGTCCCTTAGAATGAAAGTCTTCAAGTAAGGGATCACTACTGCCCCTGGTTAACAGGTTAGACATTATTTAAAAGGCAGGTTTGGAAGATTTACTATTAGAAGTAAATAAGAAATAAGGAGAAGCTGGGAGGGGGGGGGACTTTGTTCCTGGAAATGGATCTTTCACTTGAAGAGGACTTCCAACATCCTCCTGCCCCTTATCTCTGCAGTAGAGTTAATAACAGGTTAATCATTTGCAATCCAGATAGTTTGTGGCCAGGAGGCATTTGGAATGACTCCTGCTTGCATTCCAACTGGCACCAGTGAAGTCAGAGCCTTTGCCTTCAGCTCCTGGCAGTTCAGTTATCTGCACAGGGGGAGGCTACCCTACAGGGGGCATCCAACATGAACACCCTCCTCTCTCCTCAGTCTCCTCCTTTCCCACTGGCTATCAGGGGACTTGGCCTGCCCCTGGCCTCCCAGTGCTTGAGTGCCTGACCCTGATAATTATACTGATACTGGAGAAATCAGGAAGCCTTCTCAGAGAAGTTGGGGGCTTCTGTTTGTATAGTAGCATTTATACATTTCCAGTCACTTTGAGTTTTACTTGCCGCCAAATCATTTTTTGGATAAATAGGAAACAATTACAGTAAGGTGAAGTGGCCCACTAAGATAGTCATATAGCAAGGAAGAGACTCCAGGTG